ACAGACAGTGTGGAGAGGGAGAAGAGTCAAGGAATGAAGTGGATGACGAATCTATTGCGTCAGACTCGAGTGCAGTCACGCCTCCGCCCTCGACCTTGAAAAGACCACCAGTGAAAGAGCCAGTAAATCGTCTAGAGTGTGGCCTGAAAATTCACAAAATGGTCCATGTTCCTCCCAGTAACAAGAAGAATGGTGCCCTGAGAAAGTGTCGCGTGAGTGCTAAGCACAAGATTAGAAAAGAAACAAGTGTCATGTGTGCAGGCTGTGGTGTGGCTCTCTGCAAACTTTCATGTTTCAATGTTTATCACACGAATAAAAACTAATAAAGAGGTATGGAAAGGCATTTATTGCATAAAATATTGTCTTTTAATTAGTTCCTGAAAATTTCGTATTTAAAAACCAATTCTTGTTGAAGTTGTTTAGGAAAACGTAACTACATGCATTTTAGCGACATAAGGTTTAAAGGGCCTGCCAGGACAGGGGTGGGATTTAAATACCCTTCGTGCCAGTCAAAGAGTTAATACCAGGGAATTTTCTAGGAAATGTCTCTCTTAAAAATGAAATGACATTATCTCCCACTTCCTGATGCAAGTTTAGATTTTCTGTAATTGTTACAAAAAAGTATTGAAGGCATCTGCAATTTCTCCTGGGTCCTCAACTTTTTCATCATTTATAAGGAGAGATGGTACCTGTTCAGCCAGATGTGTTACTGTAGCTGTGGCTACGGTAACACCAAACATGCTTCAAGCCTCGATATTTGTCGTGCCACCAAGGGAGCCCACATTCAAATTTACTGAGAAAGTTATATATGCAGAAGAAACTTTGATAGTTTCCCCTTGTAATGGTGTCTGACTTTTAGAAACATCATTTTCATCTTGGAACAACAACTTGTGTGTACATGCATATTGTGGCGTGCTGCCTAAAAGCCAGAATATCTGAGCCAGAGTGGGCTTCCATTGCTAGACAATGGCTCGAAGTCACGTTCCTGAATCGCTGTCTGGGTTACGAACATGACACGCAACAATGCATACTATGATGAGCGGCATGAAAGCCACAACCTGCACATCCACTGGGCGGAGCTTCACAGGGTGTGTTCCTATGGTAACACAAAATACATCATTACCCTGGGTATTGATGGAGCTACTGGAGACATATTCATGCTAACAACATTCTAAACAGCCTGTTACTATGGATATAAGAAAATGGAACTCTTCAAGGAGGTGATTCCTTTCCCATCTGCCTAGAAGGAATAAAGGGAGAGCATTTCAGAATTGCAGTGAAGAATTCGGAAGCGAAGTGCAGAGTTCCGAGAAAAGTGAGAGGAGAGTCCAGAAGAGCAGCGGTTCAAGACGCAGCCAACACTGAGGGATTCGGTATCCAGAAATTGTCAAATGGGTGAATTGCTGTAACTGAGCGTAACCATATTAATAATGTCCTATAAAACCCAATGATCAAAATGAAGAATCCACAATTATTTGCCACAGAACCCTGGACATATGACAATATGTATGAGCTCATGGGTGCATGCATGTAAAAAGAGTCACCATAGTTTCATCAAAACTACTTTGACATAATTTATTTAAATAGTACTCTGAAAATGAACCAAAAATGCATAAGAAACACTTACGCTCTACAATATGATAAAGCGGTAGTATCTGTATCACAGTACACTCTTCTCCTCCCCAGTACTGGTGAGACTCTTGCCACTCAGAGTCTGCTGCCAAGCAAAACTGAACTCCATCCTGACCCCGGAGGAAGGTCAGTGTCGGTCCACGGTAACCAAACACATGATGCATGAACCTATCAATAAAATAAAGAATTTGAGAAAGGTGCAAGATATTATAATTTATAGGGCATGACCTTTTTCAATATCAACCTCTCACATATATATTTAAATTACATTTATGTTACTCTTACAAGCAACATGCTTCTAATATATGAGTTTTAAGTACATATTACATTATCATATGTTCACAATCAGATGACAAATCAACAATAAAAAGAAAGAAAGAAAGAAAGAAAGATAGTTAGCTGTATAAAATGAATAGCTTTACGAAAGGAAGAAGTATAACTGTCACATTCTGGTGTTTCATAATACAGGTATGTTTTGTCTTTACTGTTAAAATAATACAGTAATAATTTTCTACAGAAATGAAAACAATATTTTCTGACACAAGCTACTTTCACTAAAGTTGCAAACAGGTATTAAATCGAAGAAAGCAGTCTTCTGGGCTTTGGCGCCGTGTATATGTGGTGTTAACCGACGTTTCGGAGGAACGTATCGCCCCCATCTTCAGGGTTGAAGAAAAAGCATAGGTAAATCTGCAAGCG